CGGCAGTGGGAACAGCAAGCATGAACAATGCAGAACTTGGACATGGACAGTGCCAACGGACAGCCACCAAAACAAGACAGCGGCAAGAGCCGCTAACGCGAGCTATATATAGGCTCAGACTGGACAAATCCCCTTGTCGACGAAGCACGAAGGCGCATTTGCGCACCTCGCAATGACAGCGTGGTCATGCATGGATGAGGGTTCCTGACGACAGCATGAATCATGACAACGGTATGAGTCATGACACCGGTATGAGTCATGACAGCGGTATGACTCATGACGGCAGCAGTCACAAAAGGTGCTGTTTGGCGACTGAAGCTGGGCCTTTAAAGGAGGCCAGTGTTAAGTGACAGGTTTCCTTCCCTTTGCTGCAGAGTCTACGAGAGCATCAGCGAAAGGGCTGCCATCCAGGGGCGCTATCGGTCACCGGACCTCAACGGCAAGCGCTAGATCGCACTGGACACTGCCCGGTTTTTGCGAGGTCGCAGCGGGCGCTGCCGGACCTCAACAGCAGGTGCGACATCGCAGTGGGCCCCAACAACAAATGCCAGTTCGCCCTGGGCACTACCGGACCTCAACAGCAAGTGCCAGATTGCAGTCAGCACTTTACTGGACCTCAACCGCACACACAGTCACGAGCACACAACCGCAAACAACATTGAAAAACACTAAACCCACGACCATGGCAACATACTCCTCACCATGGCATGAAGACACATCGTTGACGTCCTACGGTGGAATGTTCGCTCCAAGGTGTGACGCAGGTGTGTGTGCTATCGCCGTTCCTGCGCAAGAAATGCGGCGTGGTAAAAACAATTTTTCTCAACATACTTGAAAAATGCGTCTGATGCACCAACATGCCAGCTCGGTAAAACATATTGTCTCCATCCATCAACTCATGCATGGAATATCATGATTCAAAAATGAGCACCAAAACGCCAAAATTCAAAGATGCGCACCAAAACGCCCAAAAACGTGACTCTGGGACGTAAAAAAAACAAGGACGCACGCCGGCCACAAATGAAACCAAATAATCGGTCGAAAGCGAGCGTCGAGAGTGTGTCGTGGGAACGTCCAGGATACATTGCGCAAAACTGTCGGCGAATCGGTCGAGCGCGAGCGTCGAGAGTGCGTCGTGCATGGGAACGTCCCGGATACGTTGCGCAAAATTGTCGGCGGTCGGCAGTCGGCGGATCTGCTGTCAAAAGTCGAGGGCACATCGCGTTGTGGGAACGTATTGTCGGAGGTTTGGCAATTCCGTCAGTCATGCCAGGGGATATGGTTTGATTCAGAGACTTCGGAGTTGCAGAACATCAAAGGGAGGGAGGGAGGGAGGGAGTGGAGGGCTATGTGCAGAACAATTCGACTGGGCTTGCAACAACTATGCGCCATCCTGTGTGGACAAAATTGGTTTGAGGCCTTGAGGCTGTGTGCATTCCTTCGTCTTTCCAGGCGCAGCAGATTGTTTTCCAGACTTTACTTCAATATAGTGACCCCCACCATGACGATTGCACGGTGCGGAGCATGTTGCCATGGTCGTGGGCTTTGTGGTTTGCTTGTGGGTTCTGGGGCTCGAAGGGTTTTTCATGTTAAGGACTTCGCGTCAGGGTGTTTTTAGTTGTGTTTGTGAATGGACGTTTGCTGTGTGTGGGGTTATGGTTGTGTGTGGTATAATAGTGGGTTTATGATTGTCAGTTTGTCGTTGTGTTTGCGATTGTGCGCTTGTGGTTGTGGTTTTGGTTGCGTGGTTGTGTTTGTGGTTGTGGCTGTGTGTTTGCGACTGTGCGTTTGTGGTTGTGGTTGTGGTTGTTTGTTTGTGATTGTGCTTGTGGCTTGTCTGTTTGCTGTTGTATTGTGTATTGAGTGTTTGCGTTCATGTTGTGTGGTTGTGTGTTGTGCGTCGAGGTCCGGCAGTCCCGGAGGCTTGGGGGATGTAGGGGACCAGGGCGCAGTGCTGGCACTTGCGGAGGTCCGGTGCGGAGCTGTTGGTTGAGGACGAGGCGGAGGAGGAGGAGGGGGGAGGAAGGCAGCTGACATAAAATCTAACAGCCCTCAGAACAAGGCTGTGTTAGTTTGATCGGCGTGGCCGCAAGAAAAAATGCGATCAACACAAAACCACGTCCAAAAGTACAAGATATGAACGGCGTTCAAAAAAATGGTACGTCCAAAAGTACAAGACTTGTCGTCGTCGAAATCAATGGAACTGGCGCTTCGACCAAGCGTGGACAAATCACAAGTACCACAAAGTTCAAACACGCTCGCATCCAGACTCGAACCAAAGGACACGACAGAGCAATGAGGCACGTGGATTGCCTCGACCAGGCGCGGACAAAGCCAAACAGGCGGCCAGTGCGTGGGGGGGCAGGCCTTGGAACATGGATGGTCAGAATCCGGCGCAAAACAGAAGCTCAAGAAGGGAGGTTGTCAAGGTGAGGCCTCGCCGGCGTGCATCGGAGCGTAAACGCAAATACTCAAGAGTAAACACAAAGGGGGCAAGGAAAAGGAGAGCGAGCGCGTTCAGTGTCGGTCGGATGTTCTTCTGATATTGCAACTACAAGTGTCGATGGTTGTTCCACTGCGGGTCGAATGTTTGTTCGATGCTTCCAAATTAAAAAATAGAGGAGCGCTAAAGTGGAAACAAAACTCTTCTTCACAAAGGCTTCAATGCCTTTTTACTCTGCGCAACTACAACGCGACACTTCTTGGCCAGGTGCCCCGTAGCGCGTGAGAAGAAGCTCATCTAACACCCGCAGAAAAGATTCGGCACCGATAGCCAGAATCCAACAGTCGATGGATGAAAGCCACAGTAGATAGCGTTGGAGACCAAGAGGTTACATGACCTTGCAATGATAGCTAGCCTATTATAGATTTCAGACTCAAGAGTCTGGCTGTCTGGCTCACTCACTGGCTGCAGCCAGCAGCGCTCCGCAGCAAAGCAGCATTATGGCACCCAGCAGCGCCAAGCAGCGCGAAGCAGCGCTCCGCCTCAAAGCAGCACTACGGCGCCCAGCAGCGCCAAGCTGCGCCAAGCAGCACCACCTGGACAATCTCCAAACATACTACTGGATAGTGATAGCAGGAGCCACCACCAGGTCAGGGCGAACTTGACTATATCAAACCTTCCCTCACGAAGAAGTTTGAGGATATGCACAAGAAGTCTGGGTGTGATCCAAAACACTCAGGCCAGGTGAAAGGAGCCGCTATGGCTCCTTGCGTTCATTCACTGGATGGGACACTCCACGCGCATCTGCACGCATTTACGTCAAGACAGCCGCTCCACTTGGCAGCTGGCTGCATGAGCTCACCGTCATGGCGCCCAAAGCCCCAGAAGTTGGTGGGGTATCCCCTTTCAAAAAAGTTCGAGATGCTTTGCTGCTTTGCTCGATAGATTTAACGCAGCCGAGACGAGAGGTCACCTTGAGTATGTAGGCTTCGAGGTGTTTGCTTCCACATCTCTGACATGCTCAAGCCGATTTGCTGAAGTCACTTCAGGCTTTGGGGACGGAGAGCAAGCAAGCCGAAAATGCACGTTCTCCACCAGTGCCACTGGAGACCCAAGAGTTTCAAGTAAGTCTGAAAGCAAGAATCCGACATATACCAGCAAGTTTAAAAGGCTGTGGTTGGCTCAGTAAGTATATAATTATATATATAACATATATATACATACAATTAATTGTAATATTGTATATATATATATACACAGTTAGGTAGTTATAAAATCAAATATTCCCCCAACCCTAAACATACGTCTACCCAAAATGAACCTTAAACAATCAGCCAATCTGCAAAACCAGGAACCCGTGACCCCAACACCGGATTTTGATCATTGGGTTCTTGTGCCGAAGATCCGTGTCATCGGTCCAATGTGTTGACCGTATCCACCACCATTTTGGGAACTGGCCAGCGTTGACTTCAAACAGGCTGCCACCGCAGCAAACCGACTGGCCAGCTGACCTCTCAACAAGCAACCCCCCCCAACTTCGGGGGCCGCCAAGTGCGGTTAGAACTGAACATCTTTCAGCATTTAAGATCATTTAAGCCTTTGTGGAACCCAACGCTCCAACGCTTCGCTGCCCTCTGCCCTCCAGCGTCTCCACATTGGCGGCCTCAACCCCTGGAGGCAGCCCTCCCTGGCCGAAGCCCTCCGCGTCCACCGACTTCTTCCGCTGCTGTCCGAGGCACAGAACCCAGCATGGGTCGGTTCTGCAGGGGTTGCCTCAGCGCTCGGAGCGACCCACCGTGACCCGGCGATCCCGGATGGGGGAGCCAGCGGGAGGCGGGGGACACCGTCGTGCTTCTCTGCGCGGTGTTGCGGGGCGCGGGGGGGCCACGGAAGGACGGATTGGCATGAGACACTGGGAGGCCGGAAATGGGTTGGAAGAGGGAAGAGGTTGGAGGTGCTCCATTTGGGGCTGTTGAGGAGGTTTGCTGGTAATTACTAGTTCAGAGCAGGTAGCACCCAGTAGCACTGGGAAAAGCAGCAGTAGTAGTTAACAAGCTTAAGCACTTCAACCTGAGGCCCGCTGAGGTTCAATTTCAGCCAATCAAAGCAAACAGTTCCCCGAACGCTCCGTCAAAATTGTCCCGCCCAGTTGCATCCCCGAGTTGACAATCTCAGCGATTTCCATCGCACGCGCTCTTCTCAACGTACCTGTCGCCCATGAAGAAAAGTCCGCAGGCTGCGAGGAGGGAAGGAACGGGGGCGAACATGAGGCTCCGCACATGAAAACTCCAATGAGTCTGGGCCTCTGAAGTGATCAAACATTACTTCCTCTTTAACCACCCCCTTGCTGCTGGATTCTGCAGGTCAACGCATTGCACCACGCTGTACACATCTGTACACTGTACAAGCGCCCTCAAAGCATTTGAGCTTCACGGCGCGTGCAAAACTCCAGAACACCAAGGAATCGAAATAGGTGCCTCTTCAGGCTGGTCGTGGCCATGAGCCCAATCCTGCGTTGTAAGGATGGGCACAGTTCTCCCGAATCGCACCAACAAAATTACTGCTCTAAACGGATCAAACGCTTGTGGTCTCGCGCCCACTTCAGCATCCGGTCTCTTTCTCGGGCCAAGCGGCGGCGTTTCAAGGACCTTTCCTTCGGGTTGGCAGAGCTCCAGGGATCTTGGACCAACCAAACCTTGCACACCGCGGATGATCACTGTGGACAAACACATCTCGCCTACATTTGGAAGTTGTAAGGAAAAATTACCTATCTAGAACTGTATAGTGTAGGACCTTTTAGATGTCTAACACCATCACAGGGAAGGCCAAGCCCCTCGAAAAAGTCCGGCACCCCTTAAGATCCCTTAACGACCTTCCCAAGAATCTTTACATTCTTATTCATTCTTTGCAAAGCAACGGTTCGACCAGATCCGCAGTGACCAAACTTCACCAGCTTCCCTGATTCAGGCAGTGCCAGCTGTCGGGTTGCCACCTGCTGAGGAGGAGCCCACTCCACATCCTCCTCCTCTGAAATCCAAGCGTGATGCTTCAGAACCTGAAGGCTAAATGGGTATGTGGAGAAAGAGGGGTCAGCAAAAATCGCTTATACGAAGTTAGTGCATCAAAATACCTTCCACGAAGTTCTGCGAAGGTTTTGTGGGATTTTGTTGCAGTCAGTTTTCCTACTGGCCCACCATTCCACGAAACATCCACGAATAGCCCCGGGTTCCACGAATGTCCCGCACCTTCCACGATGTTAGAATGGGTGTTTGCAAAACTCTTTCCGTGCACTACCCTTCCCGTTTGCGACGACCTCACGTGGTTGAAGAGATTGAACAACAGGACTTGGCGAAATCGGAAGGTTGACCTTCAAGAATGTCCTTAAGGACATCGCGTGTGAAACCTTGTGTCCTTTTTGACTTGGTCAAGATGGTGAACCATCCCCGTTGGAAGAACGGGGACACCGTGGAAAGCATTTTTTTTGTAGATACAAAGCTGGGGGGCGCAGAGTTAGTACTATAAAGTGAAGGGTGCAATCATACAATATGGTTGAAAAAAGGGAAGTCAAAGTGCACTACAAAATGGATGGTCGAACCTTAGGCATGCGTAAGATGAGTAAACCATAATCCCTGCAGTGCACTTACTGGTCACTGCAAAAAATGGCAAGCTGAGGCTGGGCACCATCATTCTCTCAATATATATATATATTACTTTATACTCTCCATATACTCTCCATTCCTCTCTCTAAAACTCTCTTTCTCCTTGATCTTAGGTCGGACTACAAAATGCCGGCTGCCGGGCCGAGACTCCTGTTGTGACCTTCTCCAGGGGCTCCGGGCGTTACATAGCTATAAAGTAAAAGGACCCAACCCCTCCGGGGACCCTCAAAACCTAGAATTCTGGTTTGTAGTGGCCTGCTGGGCTCTACCATTCTGAAGTGGATATTCTTACCGGGATGGTGAACCAAAGAGAATCGGCTTGCTATCTTGATTTGTGTCTTGAAACAGGATTTTCACCAATCGCCTTATGCGTCCAACCCAGATGAATCATGAGAAAATAACTTGAACAAGCAGCAAGTCGGAAGGAACCAGCTCGCTCCATCTCAGAGCCATTGCCGGAGATCAAGAACAACGGAACCACCAAATTCCTTGGATGGGACGACCGTGGTTAAACATGGATGTGTCTTGCCTTTTCCCTCAAAGCTTCCTAGGTTCAGGGGATCTACCTCGAAAGAAACACTTCTTTCAGCTGCCCAAGACCAAGAGTCTGCTTGAAACTCACCACAGCATCACCCACATGTATCACCTCATCGCAGCTTTGGCGAAGTGCATGGCGCGTTGTTGCGCGCCCACCACGTGGCCTCAGGCAACCGGGTCTAACCTCAAAGGGATGAGATGGACATCTGTGAAACACTCCAGCTTGACCCCTCAACTGGCAAATGTTTGTGGAACCCCCAACTGATAGATGTCTTGGACATCGTGTAAGGATCTATTCTTGATTCTTTTGGGACCACAAATGGACAAACAATGACAAACAAACTATTCTGATGGATGCTTCAGCGGCGGACAACACTGACTTCCCTGGTCGGCTTCTCATGTTTCACCCGATGTCAATAGGTGCATTTCAGTTGCACCTAAGGGGCGCAGGGTATCAGTGCTGGGTGGACTCTGAAAGAAAATCTGCGGATGTCTTCGCCTAGTGGCACAACTGGACGCCTTGGAAAGTGCGTTTGCACCATGGTGCTTGAGGGCTCCCACATGGCATCCATCTCCTCCACGGGGAGACTTGGGTCGCACACCCCGCAGAGGAACATCTGGTCGGAATCGCAAAAGGCCTTAGGATTTGCGCAAGACACCTCTGAAAGAGGCCATGGAAGGAGTTCCGGTTGCTATACAGTGGTTTCAGAGTAGATGGCACAAACCCCTACATGGAAATGAATGGACAAAATGGGTGTGTATCTCAAGATCCCGAGACCCTCCAAACACACACTGGAAGAAGGAACGCAGACCGACATCCGTTCTCGATGTCAGAGGAACAAGACCAAAGATGTGGGACCACACCGACCTTAAAAACCACCAAGCCAGGCGACTTTTGATAGTCCAGCAGAACCCAAGCGAGCGGTGTAAACGCCAAGACCATGAGTAGATCCGTTCTTCACAGTATGTCCTCCAACACCAGGCAGCAAAAGGCCCTGGTGAGCAATGGAGCGAATGTTCCCTTGCTTGGTACCGTGATAGGTGTAGGTAGTCACCTCAAATGAAGGTTTAGTTTACACACCTGACACTTGCAAAACTGAACGTCTGGTTTAGGTTCCTATTGTAGAAACAGCCTCACTTTCGGGGCTCTGTGGGACAGCAAGATCAGCAATGAAGAAACGACTACAAATCGGAACATTTTCTGATGAATCCCAAATCACACCCTGATACTTCTTTTGAGCCGACAAGAACTCTTCCTGCACTTGGACGTCCGGATATATCGGTTCCAGCTTCACTGGGCCCAGTTCTGTCATCACAGCCCCTGCACACTTCCGATGGGCCTGCTTCAGGAGCTTAGCCCAGGAAACCTGAAGCTTCTGCCACGATCGAGGCCCTCCTTCAGTCCCTCCTTCGCCTCCTTCAGCCGAACTAGCATCGATCGGTTTGGATTCATTAAGACCAGCCTCTGAGACGAGTTTCAGTGCTTGCATCGATTCTTCAACGTCTTCCGTGAGTGGAAAGATGCGTCGCAACCACCTGGAGTTCACGGGCATGGGGCCGCGCCGTCGCGAAGGGCGTCGCTCAGGGCGTGGATCCATGGCTCGGTCCCATTGTTCCCACGGCTCGACCATTGGGCAGGGCGACCAATGGTTTGCTCTGGAGCTGAAATGGCACTGGAAAATCCGGTGCCCATGGTGTGTGTATATATGTTTTGCGACCCATTCTGCTCATCCCTGCCCAGAGGAATGGGAAAAAACTGCTGGCGAAACCAGGAAATATGTTCAGCCAGGAAACCGCGCTCATCGGATTCCGATAACTTGGAACGCCGAACTTATTTGATTTTTTTCTATTGGTTCGGTGTTTGGTCAATTGATTCTGCCAACAGATTGCCATTCACTGTACGTTGGTTGTCAAAGCAACACGTGTTGAAAGAGAGCGGGACGCTATGCGGGTGTGTTTTCCAGTCTTTTGTTGATTTTTTTGGGATGCTTTTAAACTGATTAAAAAAGAAATAGGTCTAGCATTGGGTGTGGTATTGTAATCTGTCCTAGATGCTTCCCACAGAAGTTTGGACAACCATTCACCGTTGACCTGTGGTAGCTTGATGCCATTCACCCTTGACTTGTGGCAATGGTAATGCCACTCAGCGACCTGTGGGAGCTTGATGCCATGGACCCTGTGATCTGTGGTAATGAAGATGGTAATGCCATTAACCCTGTGACCTGTCACTGGGAATGCTAATGGCAATGCTAATGGTACCGGTAATGGCCATTGCTGTGTGGCAATGCTAATGGCAATGGTAATGCTCATGACAATGGTTATGGAATGCTGTGGGAGGTATGCACCTTGTGACCTGTGGGGGCTTGATACCATTTACCCTTGACCTGTGGGAATGGGAATCGAAATGGCAATGCTGATTCTAATGGTGTTGCTACGGTACTGGTAAGGGTTATTTACCCTTGACCTGTGGTGGTGCTAATGGCAATGGTGAGCTGTGGGACCTTGATGCCATTCACCATGTTAATGGGAACGGTAATGCCATTTTCCCTCTCACCTGTAAAAGCTTGATGCCGATGCTGATGCTCATGGTACTGGCAATGCTGACGGCAATGCTGATGCTGGTGCCAATAGCAATGTAGTGCTGATGGTAATGGTAATGGTAGGGGTAATCCTGTGGCGTGTGGGAATGCTAATGGCAATGGCAATGCTCATGACAATGGTGATGGAATGCCATTCACCCTTTGACCTGTGGGAGCTATGCGCCCTGTGACCTGTGAGAGTAGGAGCTTGATGCCGTTCACCCTTGACCTGTGGCAATGGGGGTCACAATGGCAGTGCAAATCGCAATGGTGGTGATAATGCCACTCACCTGCTGAACCTTGATGCCAATCACCCTGTGACCTGTGGGAGGTTGAGGCCACGCACTCTGTGACCTGTAGTAATGGTTATGCTAATGGCAATGGCAATGCTAATGACAATTGTGATGGTAATGCCCTTCACCCTTTGACCTGTGGGGGGCTTGATGCTAATGATAATGCTAATAGTACTGGGCATGCCAATGGTAATGCTAATGCTGATGCTAATGGCAATGGTAATGCTAAGGCTAATGGGCCATAGTACTGGTAATGGCCATTCACCCAATGGTGATGGTAATGCCACTCACCCTGTGAGCTGTGGGAGCTTCATGCCATTCACCCTGTGACCTGTGGGTCCTTGATGCCCCACAGGTAGTACCTCGGGGGGGGTCGGCAAAAAAAGGATACCACCAAAAAACAGAGGCAACTTTTTTTGCCGACCCCCCCCTCAAGATCCAGTGAACTGGGAAGACTACTACTCACGAGCAAACAACGAGCACCTACCAACAACTACGAGGTCTCGTCCTCAACGTCTGAACACCTTCAACATGCAGAGTCCCAAAACAAGCATCTTCGAGAACGCTGGAAAACACACAGGGTTGCGGAAACATGGTCTGTCTGAGGTCCTCACATGTGAAACTTCCTATTTTGTATATGGCTGTTTCGCTGCATTCAGGGGTTGTCATATTCCATTCAGGTGTTACACCTCATGTTTGTTGCAGAGTCGCCTGTCCTTTTTGATCAAACTTGTGGCCATTCATTGCAGTTTCCAAGGCAGGGGCTTCATTGAAATATCTTGGAACAAGTGCACTGAGTCATGTGTCGGAGGTGTTGCAATGGCAGCTTGGTGCATTTCCTGATTATCTTCTAAGCTTCGCCCCCCGCATGTGGTCGTTTCAGTGCTTGTTTCAATGTTTACCCATCAACATATATTAACATCTGAGTGCGAAAGGTTCCTTGTCATTGGTTCCCACACCTTCTCTCTTCAGTTCCGAGGCCCCAAGAAGGACCCTCCAACTCCCCATCCGCCCTCCTCGGCTCCGTTCGGGCCTTCAACCGTTCCATCGGTGGGCGGGATCAGCGGCGAGCCAGTGGACACCGAGTCCTGACGGAGCCGGCTGGGCTGGGCTGCGTGTGTTCACGCCAGCGGCTGGAGAGTTCATGGGGCAAACCCCTCTTGTACGACTAGGTAGATAACACACAAGAACATGTATTGACAACCTTGACATGAATCGCTATTTGCGTTGTTGAGATTAAAACAACGTGGTGGGCAACAAGCTGAAACTTGCAGGTCTTACACACAAAAAAAGATCGAAAAAAACACCAAGGCTCTACTTCTGGCAGCTTGCCTCTAGGAATAGCTACTACCAGACTCTACTCTAGGATATGTTCTACTTTCTGGGGCAGCAGCCATCAAATCAATCTGTACCTTTAGGCTACTTTTCGCTACTTTTGCGCAGCCCTTACGCCTTCTGAAATCTCCGATCGATTCCCTCCCCCAAAGAATTGAGCGACAAACTGTGTAACCCTTGGCCAACCTTCTGCAGCCTTCTTGCAATGGATTTAAGGTGGTAGCTAGATGGTGCGGATGTTTTGTGCATCGTACTCGACCTTGATGACTTGGCATCCAGGAGTTCGGGTGTCCACGAGCGCAAGTGGTATTGCCCATCTCAGCCGACTGAGGAGGTCCATGGCACAAGACTAGGATCACGACTGTTGGGTTTTCTGATATTGTACAGAAGTGAGCTATAGCACCGGTTTTAAGATTCCAGTTTCCCCGGACAAGTCCACTTTTCGATCCTTTTCTCCGGAAAACCTTTCTTTTGGCTTAACATCTCTACTCTGGGATACTTGTCTTAGAAATCATTACACTGGGCTATTTTCTCTGGACATCTCTACTCTTGGCTACCTTTTGACAGAATCAGCTCACTTATGCCTCAAAAACTCTGCTGTTGGCCACTTTTCCCTAGAAAGCCATGGCCACTGAGATCCTCAATCCCAGCGTCCAACCCATGTCGAAATGCCAGATGTTACCATCTTCCCACATCTTCCTCAGAGGGAAACCCCTCTCCCCTCCGTCCTCACCAACCAACCAGACCTCCAAAACCATCCATCTCCCCCCGGAACGGCCCGGCCCAAACCCGGAAACGGTCCAAGAACTCCACGATGGCCATGGACTGGGTCAGGTTCTGCCGCTCGCCCGCCACCGTGAAACTCAAGGTCGGCACCTGCGTCTCTCAGCGTCGTTCGCTCGGCCGGCGTCGCGAGATGGCAACAGAGGCAGGAGGCAGTGCTTGGTTGAAATGATGAAATTTAAACAAAGAAGCACATGGATCAGGATGGCTCAGGTGCTTGGTAGTTCAATCCGCATCTAGGTCCGAACCCTGAAAAATCCCTCGAGCATCCAAAGGCTTTGATGCATGCAGCTTGGCGATCAATATTCATTGCAACACCCTCCGGAAGACGATGATGAGCTAATTACCAGCAATACACCCAGTCCTTACTAAAGCTTGAATAACTAGCAAAGGAAGAGTTGGCTGCAGTTGTACTGTGGACAAAAATGTTTGGATTTCTGCATCGGACACGGAATCCATTTCACCGAAGAATCCGTTTCACCGAGCAAGCACGCGTCATGTCGGACCAAAAAGGATGCTCTCGGTGTGCAGCACATCTGATCCGCAACTCCGTGGGGCAAAGCAAGTTTGGCTGGATCAAACATTTTTCCGACTTCAAAAAGATCATGGAATCATGTATATTCTTTTAAATACACTCCTTTATCCCCATATGCATCATATATAATTACGTGAAGTCCCTTGTTGATTCCCTTCAAACCACCGTCCACAAAACGCCCACTCCGCCCAAAACGGTGGCTGCCAGCCTGACCCATGCTGGACACTTGGGCCTGACCCCGACCGGTTCCGGTCTCGGGATTTCGGTGGGAAAACCAAGAGAAGCACCGTGGTGGGAGCACCGGTTTTCAAGCACCGTGGTGCCGGCGAAAACCTTTTCTATAAATAAAAAAGATGAAGACGTTGCGATACTTTTCGATCTAACTCTTTTTGTCAGGGGGTCATTATGAAGAAGCTGACTTCCTAACATCTTGCTCACCTGTCTGCCCCCAAGAGGGTCGATGTGGTCACGCTGGTCAAGTCGAAAGCCCCGAAAGGCTCCAGGCCATCCCATGAACGTTCGTTTGCTCTCCGTGGTTCCCAAGAAAGAAAAGCAACATAGACTTACGCAACCCCCAAGTTCCTGAAAAAGGACATTGATTCCTGACACATCCACTTACACGGCAGTTTGTGATGTTCTCAGCCAAGTGGAGAACAAGCCGCGTAGTCAGAGCCGGGGCACATGTTCAAAAGGATGTCACAATCTTACAATTTTATAACATCTAAATAGTGCAATACCTATAATAGGGATATAATGGGATATACATGGATATGCTATATACATGTTCATTTACAGCTATATATATAGCTACCAGGGGCCCCACAAAGCATCAAACACCTGGTTTTCTCTAGCAAAAAACCTGGTTTTTGTATCTGAAAACCTTTGTTTTTTCATGGTTTGAGGGCCCCTGGTATATACTATAAGGAGCCGGTGGAGGTCTCCCCATGCCTTTAGATTCATCAATTCTTCACGACGAGAAGCAAACACCAACTCTTCGGTCTGAAGAAACGGAAGGACCGTTCTTTCTCGAGGCACCCGGCATAGGAGGCGCTCTGGTGCTCATTTTTCATGAGATTCACCTGTGGCGACCCATTCACCCGGTCTATGGGAACCAATCTTCAAAGACTTAACAATCCGACAGCCATTGGAACACATGCCAGGACCTGGAGGGTCCCCATGGGCAATGCTCTCCCCAATGCTCCACTCACTTAGGATCTCCAAAAGATTGGAAACACCTATTGTGTTTGGAACTCCAGGCAGTTCGGATGCTTTCAGAGGTCCCATATTTCTGGTTCCTATTTTTTCCAACGACCGTTGCGTGGGCGAGTTGCTCTCGCGCAACCGGACGTGGCGGCGTGGCGTATCACCCAGTCAGACGTTGGATGGTCCTGGTAAGCAAATGATCTTGGGGATAGGGAAATGAGATGAAGTGAGTGCCTAGATCCATATATTTCTATCCTTCTGGATCAGAGTGCAAGCTATCCAGCTCTTGCTATCCGTGATCCTGACCCTTATAACTGGGCTCCCAAAGAAAGAGACCTTCACAAACAGATGTGCCTTGGGCCTTGACCACATGGCAGTTCCGATGTTTGCATCTCAACCGAGACCCCTTTCCGTTACCTGACATATCCTGAACTCCAACACCCTTGGATGGGAAGTCAGATAGCCACATGGATCTACTCTTTAACGCTTTGATGTGATGTGGCTTAGGGTGGAACCCGGGGGGGTGTTCAGCGAACATGAACCATTCACAGACCACAAGACATGGTAGGTACCTACCAGGGGGAAACAGAATCCAGGCTTAGACTCACAGCCCATTCTCATCACCAGAGACAGGTCCTCCATGTCCCCTGCTGGGGTCCGTCCCCCAAGCGACCGGAGTGTTCTTGTAGTGGATCCCATGATGCGCTAAAGCCTCGCTGTTCCACGGGGACCCGATCTGGCTGGGTTGGGGGAATGGATTGTACCAGGCCAAGTGGAGTCCCGAATTTGGTTGAAAGGTATCGGTATGGAGGAAACCACCATCAGGACACATGTTCAAACCTTTTTAAAACTAATATAGACATATATAGACATATATAGACCAATTAATGGTGAGGCAAACTCAAAAGTTTGTTTGCCTGTCACTTCATTGTGGCTTTACACTTCACCTTTGTCTGACATGTTCCATCTCTATGCAGAGCTGCCCTTTGCCAGCTCCCCATGGAACTCCATCCAACCCAACACTAACACTGTTTGGCGCCTCCTCGGCGCCAGAAGCCTCCCACCTTCGAATCCCAGAACCCCCCCCGCTCCGTGGATCTCCGACTTCCTGCGAGGTCGGCCACTAACATCCACTAACTACGGGCATATAAGACGTATAAGACGTAGAGGGCCGACCCTCGGACCAACTCACCGAACTTGGAGGAACGGCGGGCACATCTCTTGCTTTCCCCAAGCAATTTGGTTGGTCAGGCTGTCAATCCTTGGAATTTGCTGTCCAAGCTGAGAATGCAATGCAAGCCATCAAATCCATTCGCCATTTATCTGACGCTCTTCTTTCCGCCCCAAACCAGGGAAGCTCATGGCGACCCTCGCCCACCCCGGGTGACCACGACCTGACCACGGCCAAGGGGCGATGCGCACTCTCCAGGAGGCGGTCGAGCGCCAGTAGCCGTGGAGCTCCACGTCCTGGCGGAGCGCGGTTCGGGCGACCCCGGAAAGGTCTGACGGTCGACATGAAGCCAATGGACGTCAGGGGAACACATCTGACCTAAATGCTGCCATTGGATGCTTTTGATGTTGTTTTTTTTGGACGCTTTGAAAGATTCGCTAAGACTCCAAGAGTTGTGTTTTCTTCAAGATCTTCAAGACATCTCACCAACGAACTCAACTGCCATTGCCGCGGACTCGCATCGGTCGGGACTCGCATCGGCACCCAGAACCGCGCGGATTGAGCGCGCGTGACGACTCGCACCTGCAAGGGGCTCGAGGCCGCACCAGCCGCTTTGGCCTGGAGGCAAGTTGTGAACCCCCGAACAACTTGACTGGTAGGGAAAGAATGAGGACATATGATGATATGATCGTATACTTGGTTGGATTTGCTCAAGGAACCGAATAAACACATCTTCCCCAGAAGGAAATTCACCCACCAGGAAAACAGAACATCACCCGAAGATACCCTAAGCAACACCAGGCCATGCTTTACATCCCACAAACCTCTGCACCAGCGGTTCAACCCCAACTGGGTTCATCCTGCAATACATCGACCAACGCTACCAAGGCTGCCTGCAATACATCGACCGCCCGCGGTCCGCTCTGCCACGATATGCCATGGTTCAGTGGAATAGTTGGGGTGCTTTCCAGGTGTTCGAAGACCAAACAGGTGGTGAACCTGGTGAACTCCACTTCCATGGATGATTTCAGGTTAAGTCATATGCCACGGATTCATGCCACCGGTCTATCCCTGATGAAAACAGATCTCATGATCGATTCGCGTGGGACAGGATGGGACTCCACCGGTTCTTGTTTGGAGCGGCATCACGGAGTCCTGGGTAAGACAAACTGGGACACCGCTAGTCGGACCTTTGGGATCTTTTGGATCTTCACCTATCCTCAATAAGATGTGCAATCACAGAAGCTTGGCAAGTCAAGTCGCTGCCGAAAGGATCCGTCACATGCGCCAGCATCTTGTATGACGTGCATAGTCAGTCCCTTCAGCACACAAAAAGACAAAAGTCAGTAGACTTTTGACAAACACATCAACTAGAAGTGGAGAATGGACCCTTGGGATGACTCATTTCCTCGACGAACAGGGTGGGAAACCACTTCCATGTGATGTGTTCGTCGGAGTGTAAATGACCCTTGGACGGACTTGCTCTGTCCTTTCAAGTGGATATTTTTCCCCAAGGTAATCTGCGTTGACTGCCTTTTCGAACTCTTCCTGATTTACACACCAAGCAAATTAAGTGATGCATGAATTAAATAATTAATACATATATTCAAATTTATATTTTTTTCATTGAACATCATCCTGGCCGAGAAAAAGTTCGGTCCCTCAAACGAGTTCGGCGTTGCTTCCAAACTCGCCTCGTCAAGAGCTCCAGCTGGCAAGACTTCGCCACTACCTCAGCGACAGCTTTCGCGCACAAACATGCGATCAGCTTGGATGATCTCGGATGGGCAACAAGTCTTCATGTGTGTGTACCAAAAAAGACCTGCAATCAGGCGCAAGTGCTTGAAGGTTAGCGAAGGAACTTCCAAAAAGTCAGGTAGAAACCACAAGACCATTTGTAGATAAATAATCAATCTTCTCAAGCACCCTGGCAGGTCATCCACGGTTTGTTCGAAGGAGGCTAGTGCTTGGAAGATTTGGCTCTAGGTCACAAATCTCTAGTAGTATCTATAACCACTACTGCAAAGGAACCATTTCCACAGGCACTACAACGAGTCGAACCTACGAAGGAACCTTCACGTCGTTTCATAGAACTATAACTATGCGGAACTTATCTTTTTGGGCGGCCAGCTCGATCCTGCTCATAAGTCTTCCATGTTTTTGATAATTCTTGATTGAGGAGTCTTTGGATACCCTGGCTGCCTGGCCGCCAACAAGATCAAAGGTGAAGACCTGGTTTTGTAGTCCAAATCCTCAGTAAAACAAAGGTTATTCGGGCTTCACACCATTAAATCTGTGCTTGGAACAAAAGATACATCCCTTCCCCGAACTGCATCTGTGCGGAGGTAGGAGTTGCAATCGCCAAAGCCAATCTGATAGCCATCGCCCTGGCAGTAGCCGCGGATGTTGCACACCTCGCACGCCGTGTTTTCACGAGGTTCCAAAAAAACATCCACCTGCATTGCGCAGCCACCAACAAAACCGAGTGCAGGAACAAAGACTGTGGCTGTAATTTGTCCAACATGGTGGCTTCTCGTCCACTTTCTCTTAGCTCATGGTGCTTTGAACTTGGACACTCGGAGCACTCCACACGTAACCCTCGTTCCAAATCCACCCCGACATGCATCACCTAGCAGCCACCCATCCAAGAGAGGTTGAGAAATCTGAACTAGGACCCTCTAGTGGTACATGTGGGATGGGTGATATATAGGGCTGTGAAGAACCTCTCTTGGATCCTAGCAACCCTCCCTCCCCATCTTCCCACCGTCTTCCACCGTTACCCAGGCGCATCGCCATCCTGGAGGAACTTCCTGGCTTGACCATCGCTCAAGGGGATCTCGTGCGCGCCGCGCCAGGAGAGCTCCAGCATCGAGCCGAAGCTCCTGGGGGAAGATACGACACCATCAACACCCCTGGCGAGGTAGTTTGAGGGCATTTGGGCATATAGATGTATAAAGCCTTATCATCAGATTGCCTGTTCAGTTGAAAGAACTTTACAATTGCCGAGCTGTGCCAACTGCTAAGCTGCGCCCGGGGATGGGTGCTCAAAGCCACCACCAACGGGACTCTGGATCGGACTGCTGCGGATACAGTTTGAGCTAGTTGGGTGCTCATGATCCGCCACGGGCCGCGAAGCCATCGCTGGACGGGCACGGCGCACCCCCACGGTGCTCGGACCCAAGGACCCAAGGACTCCACCGGGTGGCATGTTTGTCTCTTCTCTCTCTCTCCTCTGCTCCGTTCCAGAGATGGTCCCAGAGCCCAGGAGGTCACCAGGTTGCATATTGCATCCAGTGACGCTGTGGTGGACCAACTGCCTCAAGGCGGTATGCTTCGCGTTGCGCGCTGTGGTGGACCACGGGTTTTCCACCTCTAGCCTTGCGCTGCAGAACTGGAAGCCTTTTGGTGCCTGAACGCCTGGAGGCTGAATCTTAGAGCTTTGACCTGGTGCTTCCTACCAATCAACATGTCCAATGCCCAATGTATGGTGCAGCTTATTGAATCCGTGGGGATACCCCAAACGCCCTGATCTTGGCTCCGGGCGTCGTTCCCTTAGGGCCTGTCCGGGACATGGCTTAAAAACATCTGAAACATAGCAGCCATTTGGAGGATGCCCTCTGGTTTCAAAGGACTAATTCTGTCATAGAACTCCGAACTCCTGATTCACCACAAGAACACGCAAATGAGCTAGGACACGTCGTCCGCACACACACACGATGCACAAGAAAGACTCCGCAGATGTGGAACATTGCGGAACATTCACAGCCCGGAGCCTTCATCGATCCTTCATAGTGTTCATCAATCCCAAATGGCTGTGGATCCAAACCTTCAAGTCCCAAACCAGGGTACGTTGACCTCCCAGGTAGTCTATTCTGTTCATTCTCGGTGGTCAAACTGTCCCGGCGCCATGATCCTACTCCGTCCCAGCACTCTCCGGTCCTCTTCACGGTCTTATGGAGCCCAAGACTCTGCCGCGGTGTCCAGTACATATGTCGAAAGTTGGACTCTGTGATGGTGGTCACGACCTTCTCAGAGCTACCTGGACGGTGGCTTCTCACAGCTACCACGACGGTCAGTGGCCTGCGATTTCGGATCCGAAGGGAAGGTTTGGATACAAAAGAAACATGGCTCTGATACATGAGAGATCATGATAGGCAGTATGTCTAAGTAGTACTGTGAGCCATGGATACTGCAACCTTAGAGTGGGAAGCACCTGCACATCCTCAATTGCAGTCACTGCGGGAAGGTTCTAACTCAACCTCGGTTTTTTCGTGTTTTTCCCTAAAGTTGAGGATCCTCTTCGATGGACATGCATTTTCTGGGTGGTCGTTGTTGCTAGGTACAGCATGCTGTCAAGGTATTTCAAGGTTCAAAAAAATCGTTCATTCAATTGACAGTCACTGAGCCTCGGTTCTGATATTCAGTACGAGTACTGTAAAAGACAATCTAATTCTATCAAAAGGCACCAACTTACCTCAACCCGGTGACCTGGAGAAACAACAGAAACAACACACATAACCTGGCTGCCCTGGCCGCCCAGACGTCTTGCTGGCCTTGACTGGGGGTGTGCAAATCCACGGCCAGCTTGATATCATAGGAGCTATAGTTCCTGAGGTCAATGGTCAGTCAAACCCAGTAGAATTGAAAACACTCCCCACCCCAAAGAAGTTGGACAAACCCTGCATGCTACTTTTGGCAATCTCCCATTGACAAGAAAACCTCCAATCAGATTTGCGGTTTTTGGGGATCCATCTATTGAGCTTTCGTCGCAGGCTTTCGTGGGGCAGGGGATGCTTACCTAAGCTGAGGAAGGGTGGAGCGCTGACAGGTTTCACACTCGGGGACGGACTTGGGTGATTGAATCTGTACAGGTACCCTTGGTTTCAAGGGAAGGGCTGGGTGGCGCGTTTTGAGCTCACTCAAGTGCGAGCTAAAGCCAAGTAGGTGGTTGACCTGATGCCCTTTATCCACGCGGTGTGGCCATGAACCTCTTTGTAGAAGCGCGAGACCTCTGCCCATGGACCAAACGGACCGCCTACATTAGGTCCGGTGGCTTGATTTCTGCGCCGATGGCTGACTCAGAAACGGAATGTACGTGCTCTGATCAGTTGTAAGTGTTCTGATCCATTCCCAGATCCAACCACCTACACATACACGCCTCTTTTGTATTCCACACGATAAATGGCCGCAGTCTGCATTCGCAGTCTGGTGACGCGAGACGTCGCCCTGCAGTGCGGACGCATCGCAGAAAGGTGGAAGTGCTCGCATAAGTGGTTTCCGAGTCCATGATCTGGCTAGTTGCTCAGATGGTGGGAGTCAATGGTCTGGCTAGTCAGCAGTCTGACTCCCAACTGCTCAAGAAATACGCCCAACAACAAGGTTAGTTCACCACTAGCTGTGTCTGCCATGTCTGAGTCGCCTCCTCCCATCTGCAGCGCCCACTTTTACGCACGGACTCGCCCTTTAAGGGCGCGAGCCGCCGGCAGCGGTCGACCAGGGTGAAGCTTTGAGTCATCCCAATGATTGAACCATGCTGGTCGACTGATTCGATGGTTTTTATTTGGCAAAGAAACATAGTCATCGGAGTCTTTCCGTGTGGTAGTCATTCACTACTTCAGTTTTAAAATGTTGCTCATTTCCAAGAGGTCATCAGAAAGTCACATCTGGGAACTATCGACTATCGGATTTGCGCGCTCCCCAGGTTGGCGAAGGACATGAAAAAGGTAGTGAACTCACCCACCCTGGTGGAACCCATCAAAAAGATCCAACAAAAACATGCCGCCGTTTGGAAGGGCACCGAACACACCGTCGACCGTGCTTGTCGTGCTTGTTTGGATAGACAGTTAACAAGTTAAGACCTTCCAAGCAACGGTTCCTTAAGCTGCGTTCTCACTCTGTGGCATTGGCATCTCTCGCAATGTCTTTGATTACAATGCCATGCACCATAACAAAAACTCAGAGGGAGGAGCTGGGAGCTGTCCAGCCCCAAACATTCAGCACGTTTTCTTGTAGCCATCATCTCAACTTCGTTTGGATTTGAATGTGGTGATCGGCGGGCCTGGACCGACCTTGGACTTGCTGAGCACATCAGGATAGGAACATATCGTAGATTAAACATTGCAATCTAGAAAACATATGCGTATATCCTATATCATTATATGGTTATAAATGCATTTCAAGCGCTGCCAGAGGCAAAATCTCGCCTCCTTCCTCATGGTCTCCACTTGCAAAACGTGGCTGTCTTTTGAAACCCTGGGAGGCACAAAGTTCCCAAATCATTCATATATATATATATAGTAGGATAGAAACGCCGCCAAGCTGTTGATGCATATATCTACCACCTTTCTTCAACCATGTTCACACGATCAGACCTAGTATAGTAGACTTAAGACTTAATAAGCGGTCAGCTGATGTGGAACTCCTACATCCATGTCTCCTCACCAAGTGACCGGAGCAAGGGCCTCGACCACTTCCTCCTCGTTGGTCGCGTTGTTGGGCGTCCCAGGCTTGCTGTTGGGACGCCCACGATCTGGCCAAGGGCCCTTGATGGTCACCGCAGTGGAGTTCTTCCTTGGAGAACGCGAGCACAGGTGGACCCTTTTTGGACTGAAGCCTCCATCAGGTGGTTGGGGGATGCTCCAACCAGATCCCATAACCGCCTAGAAGCGCTTGAAGCCAAGATGAAACCAGGAAACACAAGTACTGAATGGGTACGTGCCATCCTAGGATTTGTTGTGTTTTGCCAAATCTGCAGAGAACACAAACAACTACACACACAAAGACGCCCCCAATAATTTGCTCCGACAGCGTAACAGCACTTGTGTATCTGAAGAAAAGACCAAGCTCCACACCATCCACTGCCAAAACACAACATCAAAAACACATCCTATGCAAAGATACAAAATCAATCACAATCAACTCTTCTTCTATAAGACCCAGCTTCATCTTATTTCCACTCAAGGTACTCTGGTTGTACTCCCCAGGCCCTGGCCCAGCCGGTCCAGGGCCCTTCTCACGCTTCGGCAGCCGCTTGATCTCGCGCCAGCGGCTTCCGGAGCCGAAGCCGATGCTGGGCGCCGAGCGGGTCACGGCACTGTAGCGGGGGTCGAAGTGGCCAGGGCCTGGGTCCTGAGGAGCCGGAGTTGGGAGGTGTCGAAGCCAGACATGACCTCTATTTTGATAGGAAGTTGGACCATATTTTGTGGAGGTCACTCAGGTTCTAGGCTGCGGCTAATAGGGACACCCCTAGCCAATGGTAGACATATTGTCCTTCTTCCAGGAGGTGTTTCTTAACAGCAACAACAACATACTGATTTGCTATCAAGCAGGGGCGCTCAAAACGAGGGGGATGCTTGAAATATGAGAGACCGCTAACCAATGGGTCCAACTTCTCCCTAATATACACCACCTGGAGCTGGAAGGCCACTCCAAGTGATCGGGAGTCGCTTTAGGCGTCCCCTGTGCTGCAGCGGTTTTGGTGGAGCACCGAGGGAGCGACCCTTGGGAACCGGAACCGGACACTCCGTTCCTACGGCGTGCAACGGGGGGCAGCTACTCTCCCACATGATTTACAAGTCAACACTGGAGAGAAACCATATACCTCACTTATTCACATGTGTCTTATACATTGCCCATAGTCTCCAAGACTTCAAAGTCTAGCCAAAAAAAGAACTGTTCCCTTTACCCGTCACATTCACATGTGTTTTTCTATATTTCCCATAATCTCCAAGGCTTCAAAGTGCAGCCTAAACTGTTCAATGTTCCTTTTACCCGTGAAACCGACCCAACCGGTCCTTCTTCTCCTTCTCCTTGTCTTTCTTTTCGGGCTTCACCCAGCTGTTGCCCTTGACAAAGTCTACCCCATCCAAGGTGCTCTTCAAGTCCTGAGCTGCCATTCATAATTAATAATTCATAGTTATAGGCTAAATATTCCTGGTGAGCATCCCAAGATAATGAACATACACATGATCCTGTAATTTCCAGTGACTTTAAAGTTAGATTGCAGAAACCCACACAAAATATGTATACATACTTGGACCATCCTGTATGGGTGCCCTGGCTAAAGATCACTAAGTAGTGGAGGGTAGACCAGCCATGTGACCCATGAAATGGTCCTGGTATAGATGTTTTGTTTATTTTTTGTATTTGTATTGTTATGCCTCACATGTAGCATCGGGTGTAGCATCAGTTCACCGTATCTCTCAAACCGCAAAAGTCCAAGTGGTGCACGCCAGCTATGCCAGAAGTGCGCGGTGAAATTTGTGGATGGTTTTCCTCTGTATTTGGCTCAACCTGCTTTCGCTGTTGCATGTTTGGAAACATATCTGTCTGACTATCTGTCTTGTTTCCAAAGGTTTCTATGGTGGTTTGCAGACGTTTGATCATCCATCTGTTATGAGAGGCATTGTGTCAAAGTTGATAGTGACTGGAACCCTCTGTGCTACCTCTTTGGGTTTTTTTTCTGCTTATTTGCGATTGGCTTCCGCAGTTGGCAGGTGGGGCACGGTGCGCTTTTGCGGGCAGTTTGTCGGTCTTAATTACGTTATTAATTATTGGCGCAGCTCTCATCTCTTGAGCAACTTGTTGGTTGGGGAGGTGCTGTGGGCTGGTTTGCCTTTGGTTTGAAACTATCACAGGTGCATGGTGTTGCATGCCAATGCTTGCTACGCATGTTCAAGGACGCTTCGTAACCACAAGTTGAAAAAAACCATTTGTTCCTGGACAGCGTAGGAGCCAAAGGAATGTGACCAAGCATTTGCAACCAAACTGCGTATATTCGGATAGGCAGCCATGTGGCGAAACTTGAGCTGAGCCTGTTGCAGTTGAATTGATGGCCCTGTTGTTGGGCAAGTGGCTTTCACGAAATCTATATTGTTTGCCTAAACGACTCACTGAAGATGTACATGTGTGAAAACATGTTGAATACATTTTTGGTGCTAAAGAATGCTGGTGCGAACTGCAAGCGTGCCATTTCGGGCCGAATTTACACCAGCAGGCTTTCCTTCTCCCAATGGGCCGGACCCACGCAAATGCACTTTCCACCGCAGCGGCGCAAATCCGCATGGCACACAGACATCACAAACGGAATTTGGCCACTACATTTGTACTACCAAGTGGCCAGTTCTGGTACCAGAGCTCCCAGAAGCTTCTTCTCGCACTATATCCGACCAAGTTCCCATGCCGACGGCAGTTACACACTTTGGCAACCTCCACTGGACCTCCACCTTCGTAGCAACAGTTGCACGCTTTGGCAACCTCCACCTCCGTTTTCGATGAGACAGGTATACAGTGTACACTTTGGCAAACTCCACCGTTTTCGACAGCAGCTACACACTCTGGCAACCTCCACCTGCGTTTTTGACGACAGTGACGCACTTTAGCAACTTACGACCTCCGGCGCCATTAGCCTCACGTCGGAGCCCTCGACACGCACGATCTCCACATAGGGTTCACCGTGCACACGCAAAATTTGCATTTTGCCTCGCGTTTGAGCACTTGACATCTCCGCAGAGGCTTGGCAAAGGCCTTCAAAGCACCAAACGCCATTAGCAAGTCCTTCTGAAGCGAAACTGCACTGCTTCCCTAGTTTGAGCAGTGCCACCGTTGACGCGCACCCATTGTGTGCGCGAAACGCTTCTTTGCACACAGAGATTCAGGAGCCCAAGGCACAGTGGCCTTCTGGTCCAGAACGCATGGATTCTGCAGTAGAATGCTTTGCTAATTGCCAACAGTTGGTTGCAATGAAGGTAGATTTGCAACCTTGCTCGAGAGATTTTGTGGAGTTCTACTTTTGGGTCAGGGTCGGGTCCTATATTGCATATGGCCAACGGAGTTTCTCAGTCAGATGTTCTCAAGTCACACACACACAGGTGTTACAAGCCATGTGAGTCTAGATAAGCACCTTTTGGAAGCGCAGCAATCCCGGTTTGCCAAGCTCAAGATTAGAATTGTCAGGATCATGAAATGATGATATCAGCTGTGTGGAAATTGCAAACAATCAAGTACGGAGCTGCTGCCTTGGTAAATAACATTTTCATGCTTGACAGAATGCAATTTCAAGGGAAGGTGCACATCAGTAGTGGTAGCCTAGTGAAAGCAAGTGGAAGAAAGAAAGGCCAAGAAACAATCACAACATAAAACATTGTCATTTAAGAAGGTCTTAAAAAAACATCAAACAGATAAAAATAAATATTGATCGTCTTTCATTTCAAATTTGAATAAACATAATAAACATGTCCAAAGTATAATTGTATTTATAACTCAATATGTTCACAATTTCTCTTTATTCATCACTCTTGCTCTTCAATCTCAAACATATTTGACATGTAAATCAAAGTTGTGTGGTTCAATTTATTGCTCATTCATATTCAAAATTTCACATGAACGTCGTGCTGCAAGGAAATTGCTTTAACAAGTGTCATATTGCCCCGGCCCGGGCCATTTCTTCGGCCCACCCCGGGACTCCGTCTTCGTCTCCCTTCGGGGCGCCAAGCGCTGGGGGCTGGGAGGCATGTAGCCGGGCGCCGGCGTCACCTGGACGGTGGAGAGAAGGAATTCAGTTTTACTCGCAACTAGTAGCTTCTTGTTTCTAGTAGCAATGGCCTCCAACCAACCTACTTGCGATGGCCTCCACCTAATAGCGTTCTTGCTCCTAGTAGCTTCTTGTTTTTAGTAGCGAAAGGAACCTAATAGGAATGGCCTCCACCTAATAGCGTCCTTGCTAATAGCAAGTCAAATTCGTATCCACTCGTCACACGAAAAATAACATGGGATTTGCGGCCAGCTCGGGGTTTAAAGTTCGTCTTCCACAAGGAATCAATGATGTCCGTAGTGGGCTTTCTAAGAATGTCTTTTGAGAAACTTTTGGAACACGCATTCTAAAACCAACTCAGGCGAGTTCTTTGAACGCGCCACCTTGCTGCAGGAACAGCAGCAATAGGCTCGGTTGGGCGCCGCCAAATAAACCTTCGCTGTCGGAGCTGATGACGACGGAAGCGTTTGTGGCCGAGCTTGACTTTTCTTTTTGAACAAACATACAGCTCTTTTTTTCTTTGGCAATACATGGCAATACTCTCAGATTGAGTCTGAGACGACCCTGGAGTTTTCCTACAGGTTGTGTGTCCTGTGGCCTACACCCTGGCAACAAAGCACAAGTGTCTTACAGGGCCCTATTCTCAGGGCACATTATGCCGTGAAGAACCTGTGAACCTGGACGAAACCACCAAAAGCATCATCAAGCATCTCAGAATCATAAAGCGATCGTGTCTGGCCAAAGGACACATCCCTTTGTGGCACATTCTTTGGGTCTTTGATTCACACCCTTCGCGTCCACTGGAGGCGTCCATGTCTCTTTGGTCTTCTTCTCGCAGTGAGTGCAGTGCCAAAGCTCCACGGGGCATCCGCCCAGATCGTTCGCAGAAGCGCCAAGACTAAAAGCTGGCTTTGCGCTCTCTTGCCGGTCCTTGGTGAACTACAGCAGCACTTCCGAGTGAAAATAAGTCTTCTTTGATCTTCTTTGTGGGTGGCCAAAAGAGTGGTTCCTTTTTCCTCTCCTCAGCATCAATGCACTAATCCTTTGGCCATGCATGACTGTGGATGATCGGGCCTCTACCCTAAGGCACACATGCTTTGGTCCGACCTGAGGCAACCAACATCCACCGAGTCTCGAGAAACTCGATCTGTTGGCACGAGTTCAACTGAAATTCTTTACACCATAATGTAGACGCTTGATTGATAAAACCACCGAATTCAATTACCACTACCCCTACCACAACAACAACAACAACAACAACAACAACAAATACTACTACTACTACTACTACTACTACTACTACTACTACTACTACTA